TACTGTTGTTATTGGTCGGCCATCTTGCGACTACGTTTCATTATTAAAGCTTGTTCATTCGTTTACGTCGTTCGTCGTGTTTACTGGCGATGCATGAATCAAAACAATGTGCTCAAGCAATGCCCATCAATACTGTCCAAAAGGTTATGATCCACTATTCATATCTGGAAGACCAAATCAGCTCGTTGGCATATTAGCGAAAGCTATGACTAGTTATTGTCTATAAATGCCCGGCAATTGATCAAGGATGTTTTTTGATACTAAGTTTAGTTTGCTTATACCCATAATATATGTGACAGCTTAAAACAGAATTTCTGCCAAGGAAACAACCATGTGGGGGAAATCTAATTAACAACTATGAATTTTTCCGTTCATATATACGACTTTAAGGGAGTCATTTTTATGTTATTTTAATACTGTTCATAACTTTTTTTGGCTTCCCTCAAGAGCACCCTGCGAGCAAAGTCTCCTTACCTAATCCCCCGAGAGAGAGAGAGAAGGGGAAAGGTAAAGGAGACTCTGCTCACAGGGTGCTCAAAGTTTACTATAGGAATGAAAATACTTGAAAATGTGAATTTCAGGCATGAAAACGCCTGTCTGTGATTGGCTGAAACAGTTGTTTATCTTTTATGATCTTAGTGAACAGATATTTTCTTTGTTTTGATATGAGATGTAACGTAACTAGAACTGGATGCTAACTTGAGTAGTGGTCCCAACAAGAGCTTTGGCTCCACTTTCAACAGTAAAAAACCCTGACCCATTTCGATACGCTTTATACTTTTTTGGCTTTTTATTTACTTATTTCTGGTTTTGGTACTCATTTCGATGGTTCCGGCAGTTCCGGCGTAACCATTTCAGTCGTTCCGGTTGTTCCAGTGGTTCCAGCATAAAGATTTCGGTCATTTCGTTCTGGTGTTCTAGATTTTAGCACATGCATGCCTCCTGTAGGATTAGCAAAATATTATTGCCAATTCATTTTGCCAAAATTGCACATCGTCATTAAACCAGTTGTAATGTAATAATTTCACCMCCCCCCCCCCCCCMMACACACACACTAACCTGAAAATCTGCAATAAATAAAGTTGAAAACCACAGCGCTGTGCTTACCCAATACAAATTCCTGACATGTTTGTAAATTCATCATTTTTCCAGCTTGACTACCTGCAAAATATAAAAAATGGACAATCAACAAGTACATGAGACAACAGAGAAAGGGTATTTGATTCTTAACTATTATTTTTAATTAGGTTTTAATCATAATCTCTGTAACGCTAGTACCACTACTGCCACCCTGATTTTAAAGTGAAGGCATTTAACCCGTGAAATAAAAAATATTAGTCAACCTGTAAGAGTCAAATAGAAACAAAAGAGAATTAGAAGACAATGAATTAGGGTCTAGGTATCTAGACTAATGTATTAGTCTAATATCTATTTCATGGGTTTAATGACCCCACTCTTTACTTTAACCCATGAAAAAATAGTACACATACTAGTTAGTAGTAGACTTTAAACCCATTGTTTTCTTTTGTTTTTTTTTGTTTTTAATCAACTACTAGAGTGAAGGCATTTAACCCGTGAAACAAAACCTACTAGTCAGCGTGTAATAGTTAAATAGACACAAAAGAAAACAATGGAATAAGGGTCTCAGCAAAGTCACTTTTTACTAAAGTGTATTAGTCTAATATCTACACGGGTTTAATGACTTCACTCTAGATATAACTAGCTAAAAACTAGTGTGAGCTGCGTCGGTGTTTCTAATGAAACAGTAATGATGAAAAGGTAAATTATACACCGTGAAAAGATGAAAAAAACTTACTGACGTTTCGGACGCTAGTCCTTTTACTGTGACGAAGGACTAGCGTCCGAAACGTCGGTAAGTTTTTTCATCTTTTCACGGTGTATAATTTACCTTTTCATCATTACTGACTTCACTCTAGTCAATTTTCTTTCAGGAGTTGAATAAAATCATTCTAGGTCTACCACTGACACTATCACTAACAATTCTACACTGCCAACATCACCACCAGCATCACCACTGCATGTCACTACGCTACAGCCCCTTGGGGGGGGGGGGGAATCTTGCCCGTTTAGGGTAGGGATGTGCCGCTAAGCCCTCTGAACCCTGACCCTGTTCCAGAGTAAAGATCGCTGAAAACCCTGTTCCAGAGAGGAGAGAGCTTGATTTCATATACCCTGTTCCAGAGTGAGCGCGAATTTATATACCCTGTTCCAGAGCAGAATCGCTGAAACCATACCCTGTTTGGTGGCACGTACCAGTACAGCGAATACAGGGGAGTACCCCCCCCCCCCCATCCCCCGGGGCTACAGCTAAAACTACATGCACTTTCACTGGCTTTCCTACCACCACCATTACTACATATAAGTATAGTTATATTTTTGTTTTCTTTATATCAGAGTACAAAGTAATTGGAACTTTCCTTTCCCCGAATTTCTTACGAAACTTCAAAGTCAAGTTGATGCTCCAGAACATCTTATAAGTGACATTTATGCAAAATAGGTAGATACTATGAGGAGGTACGATCGATTCTTCAAATACTAAATCAAGTCGTTAAGAGTTTGATTTAATTATTGACAGGATATCTAGAGTGCATATCATGTGTCTGTGAAAAACCTTTGCACGTTCAGTGGACCTCAGTCGACCGTAGACCTACGAAACTTTGCACTAATTTGTACAATTTTGTTAGTCTTTTACGGATAAATAGTATGCACTCGAAGCCAAGACGTTTCAAATTTAAGCTACTCGTTTAGGTAATATTATATAGAACATATATGAACATATATAGAACATGAATGTATAAAATAAACTTTATTCGCTATAAATTAATCAAAATAACTTTATGTTTGTAAAGAAATAGTCATTTACCTTCACTGAGGTTCAGTTGAATCTAATGTCGAAGATCTTTGTTTCTTCAGAAGAATTCACCTCTATTTTGTATTCATTCAGTTACTATAAGTATTGCTTAGTATTGATAATAAAACTAGCTACTTTTGAGTAAGAATGTTCGTTGAAAACGAGAAAAATATTGCTTGTTGGCAGTTGACGGTTTGTAGAAAATGCTTGCAAGTCGAACATTTGAAGGTCTGTGGCATTTTTCCTGTAATACCCACGTGCAACAAATCTCTTTCCCGCCAAAATGATGCGTCGCGTGTCAATTCGCGCTTATTTTTCCCG